GAGGGGGGGCAGCAGCACTGAGCACCCCATAGCCAGCATCCCCATCCCAAAGCTGCTTTGGATACCAGGGAGGTCCCACTGGTCTGTAGCCCACAGGTTAACTAAACACCTTTCCAGATCTGGGCTTCAGTTTCCTAGCAGGAAAAGGTGGGTTGTGTCCTGCTGTGTGGGAATAGCAAGGCATTAAAAGCTCTTAGTTGCCCAGGCTCTGCAGTAGAGAGGACCATGTAAATTGTTTTCAGATGGACTTGCTGAGCTCCCTCAAACCTGGCATTCACGTTACTGCAGGGCTTTAAATAGAAAGACAGTGTGTGTCTTAGCTTAACGCCATAAGGAGGTGGTTTGCACTCTCTCCTTCCTCCAGATCCTGTGCTTCATGTACTGACGTGCTTGGCATTCCTTTAAATTTTGTGAATTGCTGCAAAAAAACCCCTCCTTTTTATTTTGTTTTTTCCCCTTTTTTTCCCCCTTAAAGCCTTGCCTTTCCCTATCCCTATCCTTGTCCCTCCACCGCTGCACAGGGCAGCTGCCACACGGTGGCATCCAGGTATCTGCAGAACGATGCACCAGTGAGGAAAAGGGTGGGACAGCTTGGATTTGGGCATTTCCTGTCCAAAAGCAAGTTTATGATGCAAGAATTGCTGTATTATTTTAGCTCTGAGGCCCATTTCTGTCCCCTGAGGCTCTGAAGGGGTGACACAGATGGGAGATGCACCGCTGCAGGGAAAATAGAGCTAGAAGTGGTATCTCATGTATTATTCCACACACATTACTTTTTGGGTGTTTTTTTAGCTTTTCATTTACCAATTTCATCCACACCCCCTCGAGAGAAGTAAAAAAAGCCAAACCCAAACAGCAAGAGCTTTGTTTTTGTTTCCATGGGAATTCTGTGAGAGGGGAAGGGTGTGAAAGAAAACTGAAATATTCTGGCCAGATCTGATAAGGTCTGGATACTGAGCAGCCCCTGGGTTATCTTGCAGCAACTAAAGTCCAGGGGTCCCGCTTGCCCCCTGGCCGTGCAGAGTGGGGGTTGCTGCTGTGTCATCGGGGTCATTTACAGTGCTGTGGAGCTGTGCCAGGAAAGGCGATTTGGGTGGGAAAAGATCTGACTACAACTCCCAGGAGGCCCCATGGCCAAGTCAGGAGTAGCGTTGAAGTGCCTTTCATCAAAACTTCCTCCCCTGCCTCTTCCTTCAAAGTTAGGAGGACAATTGTGGTCCTTGAAGGTGGGAGGAATAAAAAAACCATACTTGACAATGTGGTTTCTGCAAACAATCCCCCCTCCTCATTTCCATCTGTAATGCAGGTCTCATGGGACAAAACAATAAAAATCACTTTTTTGTGTGTGCATGTACGTAGCTTAATGCCAGCTGGCCCATATTAGGTCATCTCTGGGCTGCTCCATGCTTGGCAGTGTCACCCCAGCGTGGACCTGCGGGGTTTTCCCGGGATGTCTGCTGTGTGTATCCACGTGGTTCCATCGCCAGCTGTGGGTGTTGTGGTGGCACTGGCAGTCAGAGCTGAGCACTGTTCTGCCCCATCCCTCGTGCCCCTTGTGGGAGCACGTTCAACGCCCTTTCTCGTTGCACTGCTCTGAAATGGCGACAGCAAAACACATTTCCAGTCCCTAGAGAGGTGACACTCTACTATACAGGGTGTAACAGCCCTGCTGTCCTAAAGAGCTGCAGAGTCACTGTGCTATGGGGTAGACAACCCTTTTCTCTACAGTCAGGATGGCTTCAGCAGAGGTTGAGGACACGGTGTGGGAGCAGGAGGCACAGTGGTGTCCCATGCTGGATCTAGGCTTTACACGGTGCCAAAGCCAGCCCTCATCTCACTGTGGGTAATGAAGCTGATTCCTCCCTCCTCTGGGGCTCTGCAGGCTCCTTCCCAAATGGGACCCAACCGAGGGAAGAACTACTCCCCAGTTATCCCTGTAGTTGCCCTCTGGACCCCATGGCTTTGCAGAGGCACCAACACGACCCGTACTTGGGGCCAGGGACCGTCTGTGTGGCTAAAGGGGAAATACAAGAAGGAAAAAGGTCCGTTTGATGTCTGCACACATGAAAGACAGGCAGAAAAGTGCTCCACTCAAGCATTTGATGGTTGGTTTTTTTTTTGTTTCAACATCTTTGACATTTCAGCTGACCAGGGATGTGTCAGTTGCTGTGAAAGGTGTCACCATTTCAGCAGCACCAGGCTGGGGAATAGCCTGTTATTTGTAACACTGTGAATAACACGGGGCTGGGGTTTGTACTGGAGAAGCTGGGCTCATTTAACAAAGGAAAAGCAAATTGGGGAGAAAAACCTCTATGGGTAAAAGCCTGTATTTAGATGACACCTGTGTTCAATGTGTCAGCAATGCTGTGTCTTTGCTGAGGGCCCTCCTGTGCTCCAACCCTTGGGCGAAACTGCCCTTTGCCATAGGGGAAGGGGAGAATGCTTTTTTCTGGGTGTGAGAAAAAGTTCTGAGAGGCTTGGAGAGCTTGATGTCTTCTCTGTGCTCCCACCTGCTCTCTCCCACCTGCTGAGAGAGCATTTCTCTAGGGTCCAGCAGCCACTGTCCCTCTGCTCCTCCCCTTTCTGCCTGTTACTGATGCCAAGTGGTGACCAAGATTGAGGACAATGTCCTTATTTAAAAAAAAAAAAAAACACAGCCTTTTTCTTTCCCTGTGTTATTTTTCAGTTGGCAGATTGGGTTTGGTGTGCAGCAGCATAGGCTCTTAGTACTCCAAAAATAAAAATATGAATTAGGTAAAACTAAATAGTAATTAAAAAAAGATTCCTAATATTAGTCCCTTCTTTTTACAGATTGTAGTGACCACCATCCCTATGTGACTGTCACTCAGTGCACTCTTTGCACCAGTACCTCACATTAAATAAGAACACTTCACACCCTCTGTGACAACACTAAGTGTCCTCTGGGAGATGTGTGGAAGTTCCTGAAGATCAAAAAGCAGGTGGGAACAGGGAACCAAAGAAACTCCCAAGAGACAATTCTCTGCTTCTTCAGAGTACAAGATACTTTGAAGGTATGTGCCAAGTATCCAGTGATCTATGTAGAGGCCAGAATGCTCATCAACAGTGTCTGCTCTCTTCTGCTACTGGTCTAGCCTTGCTCACAGTGGCTGCCAACAGGAACCTAGCAGCAGAGAGATTAAATATGCATTAAGTGAGCTAAGGTTTATGGATTTGGAAAGCTTTGCCAGAAATCAGCCAGTCGCATGGGTGATGAGCACTGCAATGAGCTCTGGATAGGAGGGCAGGGGTTTGTCTGCAGAGTTGTTTTTCTCTGTGTCTGAGATGTCCCTGTGTGCATTAAGACATGTGGAGAGGTGTTCAGAGATGTGAGATGGCAGAGGTTCCCTGCAACCTGCTGGCCTCCTGCTCGAAGATGATGTGGGGGAGCAGAGGCGTGTCTGGAGAGGATGGCAGAGATGGGGCATCCTGGGCAAGTGGGTGCCCTGAAGGATGCTGCTCCCTGTGCCATCTTTCCACTGATTTCTATTCCATATGTTTAGCATGAAACCTCTCTGCAGTGTAGGATAATGTCTCCTTGAGCATGGCTCTGCCTGCTCTTTGGGGTGGAAATGGCAGTGCTATAGGGTGACTTTCTGTATTTCCCATCACCCCTATTCCAGAGTTCCACCCTAGTTTTCTCTGATGCTTTGTTCTCTCCTGACACTGAGCGTTACAAATGTCTGTGCTGTCTTTTTTCTTGCTCAATGCAGCTGGCACTGCTGAGCCACCTTGACTCACAGCACTGTAAGTGCTGAGTGTGACAGTGTTTGAGCCCAACACCGTGAGCTGAAGGAAGCTGTGTTGCAATGCTATCGGGAACTCACCTTAGATTTCCAAGTTTGATTTTAAATCACATCATTCACACTGGTTTTATTAAGTTGTTGGTAAGACAAGTCATAGTAAACCCAGTGCATACAAGCTGAGCCAACAAGTGTGCCCATAAAAAAGACAGGTACTGTTCTGGTGGAGAACATGGAGATGCTTCAATATTGCACTGCCAGAGCAGAGGCTTAGAGGCTGTCTCTGCATCAGCAGTGACCGAATTGGGTTATTTATCTCATGTAGATTTGATGACCATGGTTCGATCCCTTGTGATTTAAAGAAATAAAAAAAAAAAAAATCCTTTAAGGAAGACAAATAACCTAACAACAATATCGATGTCTTGCTGTAGAGATGGAAGTGGGGACACTGAGGGTTTTTTCCCTGGAAGAAATCACCAAGATATCCCCGTGGCGGCGGGAGCTGCAGTGCTGCAGACAGGTTTTGGGCGTTTCACCAGCACGCATGGCTGGGTTAGAGCTGTAACATACCAGGGTTTTTCTTCTCTGCTTGCCAGTTCAGTGCTTCTTTAAGCACAGAAATTTTCTTTCTCTCTCTCGCTGAAAAATCTGCTTCTTTGCATATCAGAAAGGATGTATGGGAAGTAACGCGGAAAATGCAGCATGTGCAGAGGAGGACGGATCGGACGCAAACATTACGGGACTGTAATTATCGGGTCGTCTTACGTTAAAAATAGCACTGCATATGCAATTAAAAATTGTTAATTTGCACAGACTTTTTAATTACACATTTGCTCTCCCTGGCCAAGCGGATCTCCTCGGTGGGGACGGGGAACTGTCCCCTCTCCCTGCTGGAGTCACCGTGAGGACCGCCCGGAGGGCAGAACCGTGCTCCCTGTGGAAGCGGCGCTGGGAGCGTGGAGGAACCTCCGCGTCCCTGCGCGAAGTTGGAGCAGAAAAGCGGCGCTTCCCCTCTCTGGGTCGTTACAATTTCGCCCCAGCTGAGCACGCCCGCCCTGGGAAGGGGCTGGGCTCCCCTCCCCGAGCTCCGCCGCGTCCCGGGCTCTCCCCGCGGCCGGGGCGGGGCTGTGGCGGCTCGCCGAGCCCACATAGGCTGGGCCGGCCGGCGGGGCGGGCCCGCCCGGGGCCGAGCGGGCGGTGTCGGTTGCGAGGAGGTTCCTCCGGCTTCTCTGAGCGGTTTCTCCGGCAGCCGCTGCCCCGGGAGAGGGACGGGACCCGGCTGGCTCTGAGGGCACCATGGGGCACCCGCGGCCGCGGGGGCCGCAGGTCGGTGCGGGCGGGGCCTGCTCGGGGGTGTGCGGGGTGGGCGCCCGGCCCGGGGGTAGCGCGGCTACTTCGGCTCGGGGCGCCTGCTTTCAAGTTAATTCCCTGCTCGGGCTCTTTGCTGCGGCCAACTTTGCCGCTGGGAGGTGTTTGTCAGCCTTGCGGACGTAGGGCGTTTTTTCTCGTTTTCCGTGCCGTGAAATGGGTGGGTTTGGGGCGGGATGCGAGTCCTGCCCTGGGGTCAGCGTGGGGCTCTGGGTTGGGGAACTCGGCGAGGGCAGCTTCGCTTTTGGGGTGAACTTCAGAGAGGCTGGTGTGTCCCCAGTGCCGGTGAAGTCGCGTCCCTGCCACGTCCCTTCTACACCCGCCGTTTTTGGGCAGGGGAAAAACCTTGAGAGTTTCCCAACACGCTGACACAACCCGTTCTTGCCGAGCTGCCCGCTGGGTTTCTCGCGGCGAAAGCCTTTTCTGCCTCTTGCTGTTGCTCTTTATTTGGCATGATGCTCTCTGGAAATCTTCAAGCCCGAAGTGTCGACCTGGACTGTGGTTCAAGCTGGTGCAGCAGCTCAGCTGGCTTTGGAAAGTGTTTCCCTGACCTCTCCGCACACAGCGGGACAATGCACATTGTGTGCCCAGGTCTGCGTGATCCCCACATCTTCGAGTAAATCCGCAGGATGCCTCTCCAGCCGGCAGCGTTACGTTGCTGTTTGGGGACAGGCAGTGACATTTGAACTGGGTGGATGAAGCTCTGCTGGTTTGACACTGTAAGTAATGGATGTCATGGTCAGGCCGGTGTGTCCATGGCTGCTGGGACAAAAGCTCTCTGTCTTCCTCCGGCATTGTGTTTCGAGCTGCTTGTGTTTGCAGCTTGAGGGGTGGAAACTCTTGAGTGCCTTTAAAATTACTCAAGAATTTGTGTTTTCCCTCCCGTGCCTTCTCTGGCATTTGGTGCTGTGAACTCATGCCAAAGGCTTGCAGGTAACCAGGGAACTTAATTTCCAACCACCTCCTCTCATGAGTGTTAGCTCTGTGGCTTGGGTCTCGTGGACAAATTCTGCCCAGCTTCGCCAGAAGTTGGGAAGTTCCAAATTTAATCCCATGGGCCCTGGCCTACCCTTCCTTCGCAGGCGTGTCATCGGTCTGCACTGTGTTTTCTGTGAATATGCAGAAAGCCCCTTCCTTCAGGGTTGGTGTTACTGTGTGATGCTGAGCTCTCCCCAGGGATGCTGGGATCCCTGATCCCTGCTCAGGGATGGGCACAGGGCACTGGAATAGGAGGATAGCCACCCCTGTGCAACTGCCCTACCCTGCACTCACCTGCGGCTGAAAGGGGCCTTTCCTTCCATCCTTCTGCTGTGAGATGTCACCAAATTTGTCAAAACTGTTTTTTTGCCATGGGAAAATGTGTCTGGGAAAGTGTGTCTGGTCTCCCCCAGCGCTGAGGGTGCAGCACACAAGTGACCTCCCACGGTCTCTCTATCTCTCTATCTTGGAGCGGGGTTTAGCTGGCTGAGTGCGGGCTGAGCCCATGGAACTGTCCTCCCCTCAGTCCCAGTCTTGGTCAGAGCTCCCTCAGGGAGAGGGTCAAGGTCTGGGGGAAAAACTCAGATTCCTCTGCAAAGACCTGTTAAAATTTATGGAGATTCTTGTAGACCGTAGTTCAGCCCATTAAAGAAAGTTTATTGAGAGGTACATCCATTTAATTTGTTTTAGTCAAGATTTAACTTTGCTAAGTAGAGAAGATTGAAGGTTCTCACTTAAATACTCATTTGCACATTTAGTTTTGTCCCAGTATATAACATCATCCTTTTCAGGATTACTGAAAATTAGTGTTGAAGCTCTGGTCTTACTGGAAAAGACTTAATAAAGTGACTTCTCCTGGAGGCCATGATGCTCTTTTTATTTGAGAGAGGCTTGAACTCCTGCCACAAAAAAATGCTCTTGCTGGCAGGTGTTTCCTGAGCTCTCACAGCTTAGGAAGAGTTTGCTAGTATCAGAATTGCTGCTGCTTTAAACTGCTGAAGGTGCTGTTTTACGTGTGTATAAATGAAGTCATAAGGGCTAGGTAGGTGATCTTTGCTGGTGAAATCATTCTTTCACAAAGCGGGCTGAAAGCTTGTACCTTACCTAGAAATTTTATTACTCTTATAAGTAACAAAGTATAAAGGCTTGTGTCATTGCTATTCCTGTAATTTATGAAGTGCTCTTTAGACTGCAGGCGTGTCTGCAAGTGAAGGAAAGATCCTGTGTTTTACAGGAGTGGGTCTGATCTTCAGCAGTGATTTGAGAAAGCTCTTACAAGATAAACCGTGCATCCGAGCGCAAGTTCAGCTGGTTGAACTTTGGTTTTTACAGTTACTCCTTCTCTGGAAATTGATTCAAAGCAAGTTGTCAAACCTTCAGAGAAAGAAGTATATCAGGGGAGTGTACTTAACTGTTGGTGTTACCGCAAGTGTTATTCCCTTGAAATGATATAATAAGGAAGATATCAGTTATTTATGTTCAATGCAGGTTTCTAGTTTTATCTCATCTCTCTCTGCCCAATGAACCCACCAAAGGAGAAACTCAGTCTCTGAAATTGCTGGAGTACTGCAGGAAGCAATTGAGGTCCGTGAGGAGCAGCTCCTTTCTGATGCCTTTGCTGCAAACAGGTGGTTCCTTAATTTCACAGCTATTTTACAGCAAGTGATTTTAAAAATAATAATAATAATAAAGCGTGAGTGAGTATGAGCGTTGTCGAGTGGCCCTAAATTGGTTTATAACAGCTAAGGAAGCAATTTGATTTTCTTCTTGGTATTGAGTTGCTGGAGTGTCTTATGTAAGTAAGGCACCTGGTCTTGGCTGAGGGTGAGGAAGGAGGAGGGTGAGAGCGAACCTTCCTGCCTTTTCCTCCCATTGTCTGGCTGACAATTAACTGATGATGTGTTTTTAGCTTGCCCTCACATGCCTTGTACCCTAGAAACTCTCCTGCAGGGATTGAGATTTGTTCGTACCACGTATCCGAGCGAAGTTGCAACTGCATTCTTTTCTCTTTCCCTTCACAAAACCTTGGCCAACCTTTTTTTTGCCCTTTTTGTCAAAACAAGTTTTTTCAGTCCGTTTTCAGGTGCTGCTTGCCGTGCTTTTTCTGCTCTCTGAGAGGTGGGATGTGTGAGTAGCTGGGAGGCAGCCTGGCTTCTTTGCACCCACCTATGCAGGGCCAGACCTCAGCCCTGCTGAACGGAGTTACATATATATTACCCATTTAATTTGTTTGTTTATATATATATAAAAATAAGTTTTTAACAGTTATTTAGCCAGGTGCCCCTCCTGTGCCACTCAGTTTCAGGGACTCATGATCACCTACTGCATGTACATACCAGCTCTGCATGTGCAGACACCCTGGAAAGTAGTGGGTGGTGGAGAGACTGGTGGAAAAAGAACTCTGTTTGCCAGGTTTTCTTTACAAAATATATACCATGTTGCTCCCTCACCTGTTTGGCACTGGGTGTTGAGGGTGGAGTGAGGCTGTCATGGACCTTGTGCAGGAGCACATGCACTGTTTCCCTGGCCCCTGTGCCATGGGGGAACAAACAGGAGTAAGATGTGGATTTGCAGATCATGAAATTTACATTATAAATATTTTTGTCCTTGGAATTCAGAGTTTTCTCTGTTTCCACGCAGTAATAGTGGGAGGTATCGCTGGGGTCGGCATGGCGTGCCATCGCCACTGCCCTGAGCGCTTCGCACATCCCTCGCTCCTCGTGCCCACACGCTGCGGTGGCATTTAATGCTTTCTGGATCCTTGAAGCAGATAAACACTGAAACCTGGGGGTTTACATAACAAAGTGGGAGCGGGGCTCATGTCTGTCAGACAGCACCCGGCCCCCAGCACCCATCTGCCAGCGTGGGGAGAGGGGGAGAAGCCGTCTGGTGGCTGCTGCTCCCATGCTGGAGAGCTGGAGCCCCAAAAGGAGCTGGGATGGTGCCAGGCATCCCCCCTGGCAGAGAGGAAGCCGCTCACTCCAGCAGGGAGGCGGTGGTGTGTCAACTCAGCGGGCATGGTGACAGCACAACATGTGCTCAGGGGTCATTGCCAAAATGGTTTCTAATATTGGGGTAATTGCCTTGAGATAGTCTTATCAGGCATGGTTGGATGCCAAAACACATCTGAGAGTGGGGATGGGTGGGAATGAACCTGGCAGCACTGCCTTGACACGTGTCTGCCCATCTGTGCCAAGTCCGCACCGGAGCCGGCGTTTGCCGCATGTGTGTTCACACCTTTGTACTCCCTGGTCAGTTGTGTTTCTGCAGCTGTTTTCCTTAAACTTTCCCCTTTGCTCCCTGGCGACGGGGGTGCACGTTGAGCTCCAGCAAATAACATGGTGCTACACCTCCAGCAGGATTTGACAGCAAAGTAGCCAGTTTGCATGAGTTACCTTAGTGTAATTACATCGCCCCTTCCTCCTCTATCCCCTTTTTTTCTGACAGAGGAGTCACAGATAAAATAAGAAATGATCTTCTGCCTTAAGGAACTGACTCCTCAGGAAGAAAGGCTGTAATAAAAAGGCAGTGTGAATAGTGATGGGGTGAATATTTTGCAGAAGAGAAAGAGCAGCCCTCCATTGCCCACCCATGGAAAGCCTCTGAGAAAGGAGTTGCAGGGCTGAGGATGAAAAACCTCATTGCTGTGGCAGATATCCTTGACAGAAGGAGACCTTCACTCTGGGTGTGGAGTCCTGTGCACACTATACTGACAGCAGCAAATATTCAGAATAGTCATGTAGTTGAGATTTATTTTTCTTTTGGTGAAAGAAGAATTAAATTGTATTTCCTCGATTGCATTTTTCAGGTCAGACGGTGAGTGGGCCTGATTCCTGTCTTAGATTTTTATTTCTGCTGGGGCAGTGGGTCTTCCTATGTGCAGGGCTCTTTCTCTGGGTGAAATAAGATAAATCTGACGATAAACACCTGATGCTTCCCTGGTTCTCCCAGGGACAGCAGCAGGATCCCAGTAGCTCTGG